GGGGGGGGAGGGGTGTGTCTTAAGGGAAGACCCGGGTCGGCGATCCCAGACAATATCGATAAGATTTTTCAAACTATCCAACTTTTGTTTTTTGCGGAACAACATCATTTGACATCTGTTCTATCGGGTCACAATGACGAAACTGTTGAGAATACACCCTAAATGACCTAAAAGAGCGTTTAAAAAGTGCAAATTGCACTAAAAATTCCTGTTTTTTCTGTTTTCTCAAAATCTACATAGGCGACCTTCTTTGTGCAAGGAGTTTTCAAAAACTGCTGAAGCTAGAAGCTTGAAATTTGGCGTTTAGGTGTTTTAAGAGCTATTCTAGGGATCTGTGTGAGGGAATTGGGAAATATTGGTAACTTGTGGAAATATTCAATTTTTTGGTAATATGTACCCCAAAATTTTGTCAAATGACTTTGGGGTCACTTTATAATTTTAAAGGTAGGTCAAAATCCTCACATAGATCCCCAGTCCATATAGGTTTGTACTTGTGAGCCAAATGTCGAGCTGATGTTTCTATATTTACTATGAAATTCTTCTGCACTAAGAAACCGGTTTGAAAATCCAAGATGGCTACCACAGAGACCCATTTTTCATAAAAAATCAACAAATTCACCCTTAGTACACCCAATTTACCTTTGAACTTCTTGCACAAATTCATGAAAGTGAATAAAAGTCATGCGTTCAGAAAATTTTTCCGGGAGTGTACGTCTCCCCTTAAAACACCTACAGTCAACTCAAACCTGTGTAAAACGGCCACCCGTTGTCAAGGAGAAAAGTGGCCGTATAACACAGGTGGCCGTCTTAGGCAGGACTGGTCAAAGTGAAGACAGCAAATTCAATTTTGAGGTCCCAATCGAAAGTAGCCGCATTGCTGTTGTTTTTGTTGTAGTTGGTTTGTATTTTGTTCGTTATTTTTATTTTGTTGCTGATTTTGCGCAAGGGTGACAATAAAATGAAATGTATCAGACGAGGAAGAACGAGTGCCATGTTAAAACTAACACATGAGTTGCCACCACTCGGAGAACGAGCGACGCTTCTGTCACGGGTTCATGTTGACGTCCTTTGTTACTTTGTTACAGACTGGGTAAACAGTGACCCCTCATCTCATTTACGATTTGTATATAAGTTCTGGGCGGGGCTTATGGGTTATGAGGGATCACACAACTATGCAACATGATCGGTTGGAGGGACTACCTAACAACGACGACAGGTGATTGAATTACGACGGCTCGTCCACAACGCCAGGGGCCAACGCAATTTACGACAAAACGTACTGGAGTAATTAAGGTGGCCGTCAAAGTCTAAGACAGGTGTTATTACTTGGTGTGATAGAGGTTTTGTGTGTTAAAATATGGCGTGTGTTAAAAAAACAAAAAGAGCTTTGAGTCCTATATCTATGAGCCTTTGCCAATAGGTGGTGATTTCTTCATATACCTTACAAAGAATATTTTTAGTTCTGAAATCAATGTATTTTTAGAATGCAAAACGTGACGCGTCGAGTTCGTACTTTTTCTGTCGTCAAGTTCAACAATGAAATAATTGCTGAGAAACTCGTCCTTCTACACTTTTACTACTATAACTACAGTTCAGAAATAATGATATCTGTAGTTATTTTTTCTTTGTGAGCCTTCTAGATTTTCATTTTCAAGCACAACCTGAGTACTCATTTCACAAAGCAACTTTGATTCCCCGAGACTTCGTTTCTATCGGCTATTTTGGGGCCCTGGAACGAGCATAATATCGATCAATGTTTACTCTCTTCCCTGACTGATTCCGAGGCTGTGACAGTACGTAATTTTGCAGAAAACGGAAATCCCGTGACGCCTCGTGCTCTGTCATCATTTGTTATGTTTGAAAGAACCAATCAGAAAATGAGAAATAATAGGGGTGGAGGAACATGCATTGTTCCTGCCGATCCATTCAAAGCATATTGTTGTGTGATGTAACATGGCGAGAAGAATAACGATGGATGAGACGAATCCATTTAAGTTTTCTTATATCGTCATTAAATCTTAAAACGTTATGTTCGAAAATTTAAACAAGTAATGATTAACATCGCAATGCATTCCAGTGATCAAGTAGTGGTAGATCTAGATGAAACCATCCATGCTAGCCTAGATGTCAACGAGAGAGGAAAATTTGATGTAAATTGATGATATGTTCCAAAATGAAAACAAACATTTATTAACTATATGCGACATGTGTCATCGTGGATATGTTCGAAAGATATTTGGTATTTTGCATAGAGTCATAGTAAAATGTGAATTAAGTGGCATTTTTTCACCATTTGCATGTACTATGAGTCAAACTGAATCTCCTGAATCTCTGTTTGCCAAAATTTCCAAAAAAGGAATTAAAATAAGAAAATGCAAAGTTTTTCATTTCTTTCGGACATAACTATGATGACACAAATGCAAATACAAAGACGTTCAGAATTTCTGTGATTTTATAAGCTCTTCATGCTTATGTTTGAAAATTAAAGCAATGTGGAAACTGTTAAAACAATTTTATGTTCCATAAATTACTTATCAGGTTCGTTTTTTTCATTTTGTGTCATCATGGTTATGTTCAAAAGATATTAGCTATTTTGCAGAGATTCATAGTAAAATGTGAATAAAGTGGCATTCTTTCATCATTAACATGCATTATGAGTCAAATTGAATCTTCTGAATCGTTGTTTGCCCAAATCTTCATAAAAGAAATTACGATATGAAAACGGAAAGTTTTTCCTTTCTTTCGGACACAACTATGACGACACAAATGCAAACACATGGCATTCAGAATTTCTTGTTTCTGTGATCCTCACAATTTTATATGCTCTTCATGCTTTTGTTTGAAAATTAAAGCAATAAGAAAACTGTTAAAATAATTTTGTATGTATGTACAAATTCAAAAAAAAATGTGCCATCACAGTTATGTCCGAAAGAATTTGACTTGACATTACATAACGCCAGTTACACAGCTTAGCATGCCGTCTGAAGGTCTGTAAATACATGTTTTTGTAGGAGGAGATATACAGGAATAGAAAAATGCAAGTAAAAACGAAATATTAAAAACTTTATACTCAACCCTCTGTGTCACATAGGCCTACCCACCTATTGGCAAAAGCTCACATATATAATATTCCAGCTGGGCCCCCTTTCGATGAAAGGAATGATCGGTGCATTAACATCAACTGAAAGTCATTGGCCTATTATACTCTACTGGAAATGAGCAATAAATCTTGAGAGATGCAAAAAATTAGAAGGTCTAGATCTAGACATATACTCTCAAACAAAATGCGCCTCGCGAAATATCACTTCCGCACCAGATTTTCTAAAATTACAGAGACAGAAGTGTCGGCATATAAAAGCGATCGGCGAAAGAAAGAAATTTAGCTTTTTGCAGCAAAACTGTCTCAAAACTGAAAAAACCAAGGGCGTCATGATCTGGAGAATATTTTAAAGAATCTTTTGGCGAAAACCGCATGTCGATCGATGCACCTATTAAAAAGCCTTTTGAATAGCAAAATTCAGGCCACCACAAATAGATAATAGATATATATAGAGAGAGGAAAAAAATCAATAACATTAAACCCCATCGGTCTGAAGGGAAAAAAAAAAATACAACACAGAAAGTAGACTATCAACTTGACAGATCCTACCTGCAAGTATGGAAGTAATATTTACTGGTCTGTCGCTGTCTGTATATCTCTGATATGATAGTGAACCTTCCACCATCACTCTGTCCCTGGAAAGAAAATTTGCACATGTTTCAGTAAAAGCTGTAGTAGATCGTAAAGTGATAATTCATACTCTATGCAGAGTCGGTAGGCCTACCATAATTAAAGCATTTTCCAACAAAAGAAGAGGGATATAAAGGGGGCTTGCAGGTTCCTGTTTAAGATTAGTAAAGAGCAGAGAGCTTTTGCATTGAACATTTCCTCACCACCAACTCATTTCGTAAGTTTCGGACAAGGCACGGAAATAATGTAAGAGTGCCCTTAAGGCCTTCTTTGATGTCAAGTGTGGAAATGGTCCATCAGTTAGGACCTGTAGAGAATCAGAGTTAAAAATTCCCAAACAAAACGATCCCTTCAGGTCAAACACACACCGTTTGCACCTCTTTAAATGTCACCAAGTTGCAGAATTCAGTATTTGAGCCCCATGACATGTCTGTCCGTAGACGATGTCTGCAGCAAAGACTTTCTTACATCTCAACGGTCCGCATTCTCAAGGCAGATCTTCATCTACGACTGTACCGTTTTCTCGTTCACAAAGCTATCAGAGAATAGCAATGTGTTCATGATTCCTCGATCGTCTTGAAAAGCGTGAGCATTTCCTCTATGACATTTGGCTCTTTGGTAAAGCCCATATTCACCTTTCAGCTTATATCAACTCCACAAATGCTGTCTATTTGGGCAACCTCACCCCCCTCCCCCTATTATCTAGAAACAGCTCCATAGTGTAAGGTGTACAGTGTGTGTGGCTTTGAGTACTCATGGTTGAGTGGATCCTTGTGTTTGGCCACCATTGAACATTATGAACAACGTATTAAAAAGTGTCGAATCCAAAGGAGGAAGTACATATAGACCATTGTTTCTCGAAATTCCAGAATTTAAAAAATATGTTTTTTAACTCTGTAGGAGAAAAGATATACTGTTTAAAGGTTACAAGGATGGAAAGATTAGATTTTAATAAAAATAAAAGGAAATGAAATAAACCAATCATGACTTTCCTTACAAGATCTTTTAAATTTATTCATTTTGCATAATTTATAGGAGGTAAAAGCCATTTCCGTTTTCAAAAATAAGTTTCTTCTTTGAGAATTTAATGTCAAACAAATTCCTTTTGAAAGTAATCTGTTCCAAATTACAACATTCTAGTACAAATTTTGAGCGAGATCTTCAGAAAAAAGTAGTCGTTTTTTTTGGATTACCCTGCAGTTAGAGAAATATGGTTTGTACTTGTAGTGGGCTGGTTAGTTTTTAACATTTTGCTTTAGAATTTTTTACAATTTTTTTTCATGCCAAAAATATTTTTTAAAGATCAAATTCCATATCCCCAACTTTGAGAACAATTTTGGATACTTTCTAATTATAGAATCAAAACCGAAAACAGCCAGCTCCAAGCACCTATATTATTTTATCTGTGACATTTTGCAGTATAACTCACTTCAGACGGATCACACAACAGTTGCGTGACCCCCGCCGCGACGCTCGCGACGGGTCTCACAAGCCCTGCGTGACCAACTTTGGAATTTTTTTTCCGCTCTACAAATCACGCACGGATCACGAGACCCGCCTCATACCCTTGTTTGGCCAAGCCTGAGCTACTTAGACTTCGTTTCGTATCTCTGGGACCCGTAGTTTTTAAGTTATTGAAGGTGAAGGACAGTGACCCCAACAGGGGTTGAACAGACCGGAACTCGCTCGTAGTAACGGTCGAAGAAGTCGCATGAACAAAAATCACATAATTTCGCCGTTTTCTATACTTCTGTACGTTTTACTAGTCCTAGTGTCTCAGAATATGATGTGTCTAATAGTTAGGATCCTGGATATGTACCCGAACATGGCCCGAATCGTAGTTCTAGGGCTAGATCTAGCACTAGTACCGGTGTTGTTTTTCGCGCAATGAAATCACAACGTCGTGCCGTACATCTGTCTCATGTAATTCAGTGTATGGGTCTGAATCAATCCACAGACCAGCTTTTATATTTTCACCAAACACTCGCACATGTATACAAATCAAACCAGAACACTTTGAACTTTTATTTTTGTTGTTGTAGTGAATTTCATTCTACTTGTCACGTCCCTGGAAATTTTTCTGAAAATCAAATTCATTCCATTTTTAAAAAAATCATACAAATTAAAGTATTAGACTTAGACAAATTTAGTTTTTTGTATTAGATTAAGCTTGAATGTTACTTTACTGTGTCAAAAAATAATTACAACAGGGTAATTCTGAGAGTTGTGGTGATTTATTGAAATACCCCCAAAAACGCCAGTCTTCAACGCTTGTGACTGGTGAAAGGGCCCAGTCGCAAGTGAGTTAAAGAATTTTAAAAAGTTAAAAACTAAAAACGGTGGAGAAAAAAACCAACCCTACTATTTTCTTTCCAATTTTCAAGAAAGCCACCGTTTCCAAGGCTACGGCCTACGTAATCGAGAGTGTCAACAGTTGAAAATGAATTTTTTGTCTCATACCTAGTGCCTGTGACAAAAGTTGTTTCAGTTTGTCTTAGTTTAAAATGTTTTCCCGAAAGTATCAAGCCCCTTTAATTATTCACAGCAACCACGCTATTTTGATCTTCTTAAGAAGTACATCTGCTCTTCATTTGTAAGCCTTCTTGGTTACACCGAGGCTTTACAGCAGTGAGTTTTTATTTTCTTTCGTCAAGATGTTCGTAACCTTGGGAGTGCCCCTGATCACTGTCAGTGCTTGAGTTCCTGTTACAAACTTGTAATAATTGTAAGTCAATTGACTTCAACTTTAGCCCAGTCTCAGAACATTTAAACACAAAATGCAGGTAAAGTGTTTATGAAGCAGTAACCTGATATGTCCGAGACTGGCTATGTTGAATATATTGTGTGAAAACAATATCTCATATTGACCTCATCTAACAAGTAACATGACATTCTGATTCCTTTACTTTTTTTCTTAGTAAAGCACATACCGGTACAATCTACCTATTTTTTTTTTGGGGGGGGGGGGTTTATAAAAACACTTTAATCATTCTCCTACCTCTCCATCAGATCAATCAACCACCCCATGACCAAAAATAGGAGTTTTTCTCAAAATTATCTTGAAAAAATTGGAGTTGGGGAAAAACAATAATATTAATAGTCTCTAGAACCCCAATAAATGTAAGATTATAAAGTAGAAAACCGACCAAGGCAAATAAATGTATTGTAAATAAAGGTTAACATTGCCTGTGGAAGAAAAGTGAATTTTTACACCATTTACAATAAGTAGCATACCACCTCACGGAAATGGAATTCAAGAAAAAAATTTGACTTTCGCAATGCCCTTGATACCTATGCATTCTTTCTTTCCTCCCCTTAGTCCATCTGATAACAAACTTTTTTGTCCAACTTTGTTTCGCCTGACACTGAACTGTCAAGTATGCATTCCCTCATCATCATTAATAACATTATGTGATTGCTTGCATCTCTCTAACCAGGCTCCAGCAGGCCAAAAAGCCAGCCACCCACAGCAAACCATCCTTCTTATAGGTGTAAACACAGTTTTGCAAATTGGTCATGTCACCCCGACAAAGTTCATTTCTCCGGGACACCTTGTTATAAGTTTCAAAGACAAGTCAGTTCCCTCCCCCTCCTCTAAAATACATGCACACATGCAGCCACTACCCCTCAGCCACTATTTGGCCATTTGCCAATCAGCTCATGTGTACAATGTTACATGCAGGAATTTTCTTTATGAGATTTCTCCTTGATGTGGTATCATGCTAAATATACAAGGATGAATATAAACAAAGTACTTCCTCTGTTCGATATCTCATGAACTGTTCTACTGCGACATCTGCTAGCTATGACCAAATTATAGTCCCCTCCTCCACCACCTGCAAAGTCTGGTTAACCAGGGAGCATTGCAGACCTATGTCGTCGTAAGCTGACAAAATGTTTTTTTCATTTTTGGCGCCAAATTAAAAAAATATTTTTTGCTGAAAAGAAAGCTTGATCAGTTATCCTACTTGTGTGAAAAAATCAAAGCGAAACTGGGACTGCTTTTTTATAAATTAGAATTAAAATCTCGGATGGACTCCTTTTTTAATGTTTACGCTGACAAAAAACCTCTTTATCTTAAAACTGCTGTGAAAAAAAAAAGGGCATTTTTGTCAGCTTACCGCAGTATAGACATTGTGTCTACTTGTGTTTATAGCCAAACATTCCACACTGTAACTATCAACATTTGCTTTATAACCATTCAAAAATCTTACTCAACTGCATTTAACTTTAACAACCAGAACAGAACGTCCTGTCTTACTTTCGTTTTTATTTTAAAAATAAGTGTTCTTTTCTATTGAAAGCAACATTGAGTATACACAGTCTTACCCTTTGGCAATCCTTGATGCAACATTATCTCGGAGTCCTGGTCTGAACACACAAATTCTGTGCCAGTCAGTCTTTGACATCAGTTCCCCTTAAAAATAAATAATAATTTATGAGCTATTTAACAACCAAAAGGGATTGCATTTTTCTGTTTTTGTCACTGACTGGGGGAAAGCATTCCTTTGACTGGTCACACCCCTTAAACTCCAGTAACAATTCAAACTTAATTTAGCAGAAGAGTCATAGAAGCGAAAGCATCTCGACTTTGCAGGTCCCTTCTAGGGTAAAATGTTCCTGATAGTGACAGATGCTCACTCAAAATGGCTAGAGGTTAAGATTATGAGCAAAATCACAGCTCAAGACACTATTCTCGAATTAAGAGATATGTGTTCACTTATTTCGGCCTTCCTGATCAAATTTTCACAGACAATGGTCCTATATTTACAAGCTCAGAGTTCAGAGCTTTCAAGAGTGGAAATGGTATCAAACATATCACTGTGTCTCCATACCATTCGTCTTCAAAAGGACTTGCTGAGCGTTGTGTTCAGAGCTTCAAGAAAGCAATGGTTAAAATACAAGGGACTTGCTTAAAAAAAAGAAAAGGTTTGCAAATTTGTCATAAAGTACAGGTCGTTACCACATACAACTACTGGATTAAGTCCAGTAGAACTTATGTTTGGTGGAAAAATGAAAACCCATTTAGATCTTCTGCATCCTATGTTGAACCAGAGGGTAACAGAGCAAAAGAACGCTCACAAAGCATACCATGACAAATCTGCCTGTGTGAGAGATTTTGGTGTGAATGATAATGTGCTTGCCAGAAACTCCAATGTGAGAGGGGGAAAATGGTTGCCAGGTGTGATTGTTGAAATAACGGGCCCTCTTTAATACAAGGTCAAAACAGCAACACATGGTATCGTACGCAGACATCAAGACCAAATTTGTTTGCCCAGGTCTGACATGATTGATCATCGTGTACCTGAGTTCGACATGAGCAACTATGATAGAACAGATGAGCAAGTCCTTCTTGACCACGAAGAACAACCCGATCACCAAGACATAACAACTAAAGCTAAAAACATGTCTCAGTTTACTGGTAGTGAGGCACCATCTCAGGTAACTCTTGGTGGTGCATCTATTGCGGCATCAAAAAAAGGTCTTGGATCCCGAGCCTACCAGTCTTCTCACACCAAAGCAGGAAGTAGGTGTAAGGCATAGTACGAGGACAAGAAAAGCCCCAAACAGATTAGTCCTGTAGGCATACTTATGGTATAGAAGCATATTGTTTTTGTGCAAGTATGCACTTACTATTTGCAGTGTACAATTATAAGCATGTTGTGACTGTTGCCTTAAGCTATCCTTCCATCTGTGTTAATAATATAAGGAAGTTATTTTGAGTGGGGGTGAGGGGGGGGGGGAAGATGTGATGTATTGTTAAAAGAGAGTAACTGTGAGTGGCTGTGATCGTTGTATGCGAGCTATGTCCCTTATGTCTGTGTGTATCATGCGACCATCAAGGTGTGTTAATCACGGCAGTTCAGAATAAACTCTCTGGTGAGTAAGTCGGACGTGTTGTGTTGCAGATACTATACTCCTGAAAAGGAGAGTTGAATTTCTTCAGCAAGTTGCAGCAGTATAAAAAAGGGCATATCGTTGGATAGCTGTGCAATGCCCAGAAAGTAAAATCTTTTAGGAGAGAGATAAAAACTCATTCATTCTTTATATAATTGTACTTAAATCATGTACTTTTTCTCTCGCCGATTTCAACATTTAGAATTTAATTTTGGCAAACTGTTTCTTGAGCACATGCAACCGATATATAAGAGATTAAAAACTGTAATTAAAAGAAAGAAGTTATAATATTAGGCTCAGCACATTTTATCAGCTGGGCGAGTATGAAATTTAGTGAAATGCAAAGGTACGAGATCAAATGAAACCATTGCACAGAAAAATGAAAGTAGAAGCATGTAATTTCGGGAAGGTTGCTTTCAGATTAAAACAGAAAGATGAATTGCAAAAATTTTTTAATGGGGATTGTAGTACAAAAATGATTCTTTTGAGAAAGGTTATTCTTTGTGATTTGTTTAAAAATGCACCAGGAATAATGATATTCCTCTAAATTACAGGCTTGGTCTCATCAGAGAGGGTTTACAGTAATAGAGAGGTGACACTCGTGGCGGCGCTCCATAACAACAGTGCATTGTTTCGCGTATCGCCCGGCGCGGGGAGCGAAAACACTTACGCGCGGTGATCGCTGCCACGGCGATGCTCAGGGATACTGTCATGTCATGAGAAAGTGTAGTACCGTCTGTAGTTAGTTCACTAGGTTACTAGGCCTTTAAAGAAAGGAGGCCTGTGAATTCTATCGCATATTTTAGGCAACTCCCCTGCCTCCCTCGGCCATAAAAGACTTGTTTTTGGCTTAAGTTAACATAGGCACCGACATTCTAATAAACAAATAGACGCAGATACATTTTTCTTCGTCTCTATAGATCTGAAAAAAAAATCCCCATAATTAAAGGAATAATCGGTTTAATTTTCAACAAATCTACTCGTTCTCCAGTGTCCCTTTGTCATCTCTCTCCCTCTCTGTCTGTCTGTCTGTCTTTTTCTCTCTCCCTGTCTCCTTTTCTCTCTCCCTGTCTCCTTTTCTCTCTCCCCCCTCTCTACCTGTCTGTCTGTCAGTCTGTCTGTCTCTTTCTTTCTTTTTCACCCCCTCTCGCCCTGTCTATCAGCGTGTCTGTCTGACTGTCTGTTGGTTTTCTCTGTCTGTCTGTCTCTCTTCTTCTCCCCCTTCTCTCGCTCCGTCTATTCGTCTGTCTGTCTGACTATCTCTGTCTCTCTCTCTCGTTCAGTCTGTCTGTCCGTCTCTCTGTCGGTCTCTCTCCCTCTCTCTCTGTCTCTCTCTCTGCCCATCTTTCTCCCCTCTATAGCTCTGTTTATTTGTCTGTCTGTCAATCTGTTTCTCTGTCTCAGTTTCTGTCTGTCTGTCTGTCTCTCTCTGTTTCTCTCTCTCTCTCTGTTTCTCACTCTCTCTCTCTCTCTCTCTCTCTCTCTCTCACACACACACACACACACACACACACACACACACACACACACACACACACACACACACACATATATATATATATATATATATATATATATATATATATATATATATATATAATATTAAATTCTCACACTTTCAGATCATGGAAAAGCACATGAAGCAATAATGATAGATCTACCAATTAAAGAGTTTATACCGAACACCTTCCATCTCCCATCCTACCCCCCCCCCCCCCCCCCAAAAAAAAGAAAAAAAGTGGTAATCGGACAAAGAAAGTTCCAAAACCGAACGACGGCAATTTGTATTTAGAAAACTTTTAGACATATCTTTCACTAGTAGAATGCAGGCTCAAAAGTTGAAGTGTGTTGAGTTTGTGCTTGGAGTGTGAGTCTGGTAGGACCACAATCATATTGTCATTATTTTGATCTATATTTTTCTATTCATCAAAAAAATAATATTCGTCATCCTTTGGAAATCGAAAGAAACTCAGATTTTGATTTTAATAGGTGCAGTTTATAGCAGAACACCATTGACACTTCGTGCTAACCGGGGCCGTGCTTGTCTGCGATCAACGCAAATGCCTTGGACAATGGACGCAGTTTGTTTTGTTTACCGCGCGTTTCTCCACGATCAGCTGGTGACCCAGATACGCGCATCCGGGCGAAGTGCCGTCTCTCTAGTATTACTGTAAACTCTCTGGTCTCATATCAAAGGCTTTGAACTAGCATTAGCACCCAAAGGTTACATAGCAAAGAAGGGAATGACCCAATATTACAACTAATGAAAATTTAATAGCTTTCTGAAACAAATAATCCTGTAATGCTAAAGATTCAACACTACACTTTTTTGAAAGTCCATAAAACTGTTGATAAATTCAAACTTACGAGAAGATTCTATGTAGCGCGTACAAGACAAGATTTTACATAAAATAAAAAATTTCACCTGTGCTGGCTTTTCGGAAAGAAAGGTTCGTAGCCAATGGAAATACAATGCAAGGATGTTCGTCTGTGCCCCTGTGCTCTGGATCTCTGCCAATTCGCCCAATCAGTTGCACTCTGTTTAATCCTGAAATATAAAGAAGATTTTATTTTGTTTAAAATGCTGGTCTTAAGATGAACTGAAGCAGTACTTTACTATCTCATCAAAAGTGCAATAGGAGTAATAGGAGGCTTTGTTGCAGCTTCATCAGAAGGCTCAGTGGCTGTCTAGTTATGGCAAAGTTCATAATATGCGCATAATTGAAAACTTTTCACCATTGCTACTTGCAACAGGGGTGTCTGTTGATTTTTTTCCTTTCATGGTCTATAAAAATTACATTTCTAATAAAAACTACATAAAGTGCATATATGAACAATAATTCAAACAATTTTCCTTCTACTGTTACTGCTCGGCTCTTTCTTATTGCTGTCTTTCAGCCACATCCCTAATCTTATGGAAGGAAAGATCTCCACCTAGCCTTTTCTGACAAGGGTGAAAAATCTTGGAGGTCCCTTGTGCAAGCAAGTTGTTCACGTTAAAGATCTCTTGGTAGTCCAAAATCGATGAGTAGGCTTCGGCCGCCACCAGAGCAAAAATTCAAAATTTCCCACCAACTGAAAACATCTCATTGGTCAGTGCGCTCATATGACCATATGCTGTTGCGAGCGCCGTAAAACACATACCAAAAAAATATATTAAAATTTTTAAAATAAAATATATATGTGAGGCATCATGGTGAAATCAGGCGTTCGTCAAAATAATGAAATAGAAGAAACTGGCATTTTTCTGTTCGTTTGGCAATTTTTATAGAATTTTTGTTTTTTGACTCAACACCTTTAAGGTCCATTTAAAAACACATTTCCGTGTGGATTTTACTGAAATATGTCGATTTAAGGCACACAAATGGAAATTTGCAGTTTCTATGGACTCTCAAGCTTTAGTAGACGGCAAACTGTGGCAGCCATTTTCTCGTTCATTTTACCTCTGAAACCAGGCGACCCCCACCTCCTTCAATCGCAAATATCTCGACGTCTGTCATGATAGATGGGTATTTTTTTTTCACCGAACACAAGACAAATGAACAAGCTTTAAAATGGTACGACTAATGCCATATGCCCAAAAATCGACGAGCGCCTGATTCCACCGTGTCGTGACACATATATATGAACCTTTGCCAATAGGTTTTCCTATTCCAATAAAAATGGTACTACAGTTATGAAAATTGTATATGTTGTGCTTAATATGATGTTTCAGCTATGGGAGCATAGAAGTAGCAGTCCGGTCGCACCTTTCTGTCGTCAAGTTCAACAATGAAAAAATTGCTGAGAAACTCGTCCTTCTGCACTTTTACTACTATAACTAACTACATTATTTGTGGTGCTACATCAGGAATAATGATATCTGTAGCTGTTTTTTCTTTGTGAGCCTTCAAGACTTTCATTTTCGAGCAGCATAACTCATGTAGTCATTTCGCAAGGCAACTTCATTCCCCGTGATTTCATTTCTACCGGCCACTTTGGGGCCCTGGAACAAGCATAATATCGTTCAATGTTTACTCTCTGCCCTGACGGACTCCGAGTCTGTGACCGTACGTAATTTTGCAGAAAACGGAAATCCTGTGACGCCTCGTGCTCTGTCATCATTTGTTATGTTCGAAAGAACCAATCAGAAAACGAGAAATAATAGGGGCGGAGGAACGTGCATTGTTCCTGTCCATCCATTCAAAGCGTATTGTTGTGCGATGTAAGACGGTGAGAAGAATAATGATGGATGAGACGAATCCATTTAAGTATTCTTATGTTGTCATCGAATTTTAACTCATTATGTTAGAAAATTAAAACCAAATAATGATTAACATCGCACTGCGTTCCAATGGTCAAGTAGTGGTAGATCTAGATGCAACCACGCATGCTTGGCTAGATGTCAACGAGAGTGGAAAATTTTATGTAAATTGAAGATATGTTCCAAAATGACGACAAACATTTGTCCACTATGTGTCATCGTGTTTACGTTCGAAAGATATTTGGTATTTTGCATTGAGTCATACTGAGTCATAGTAAAATGTGAATTAAGTGGCATTTCTTTACCATTAGCATGCATTATGAGTCAAACTGAATCTGGTGAAATGGTATGGGTTTAACGCCCCTATCAACACTATTAGGTTATTTAAGAGGCGGGACCTCCTAGTTTAACGTCCGTCTCCGATAGGACAGAGCCAAGTGGGACATTCGTGTAAAGTGCCTTTCCCAAGGACACAACGTCGGCCCGAGCTGAGGCTCGAACCCCTGAACCCGCAATCTCATGATCACGGGTCCGGTAGCCTAACCACTAGGCTACCGGCGCCACTCAAACTGAATCCCTTGAATCTTTGTTTTCCAAAATTTCCAAAAAATGAATTAAAATGTGAAAATGGAAAGTTTTTCATTTCTTACGGACATAGCTATGATGACACAAATGCGAACACAAAGACATTCAGAATTTCTTTTTTCTGTAATTTTATGTGCTTTTCATGCTTATGTTAGAAAATTAGAGCAATGAAAAAACTATTTAAATAATTTTATGTTCCGTAAATTACTTTTCAGGGTATTTTTCCTTTTTGTGTTATCATGGTTATATTCGAAAGATATTAGATATATTGCAAAGATTCATAGTAAAATATGAAAAAAGTAACATTTTTTTCAGCATTAACATGTATTGTGAGTCAAAATGAATCTTCTGAATTGTTGTTTGCCCAAATTTTCATGTTGTTATCGATCCAGCCCAAATTTTCATAAAAGAAATTAAAATATGAAAACGGAAAGGTTTTTTTTTTCCCCGGACATAACTATGATGACACAAATGCAAACACAACAGCATTCAGAATTTCTTGTTTCTGTGATACTCACTATTTTATATGCTTTTCATGCTCTATTTTAAAACTGTTAAAATAATTTTGTATGTACAAATTTTTAAAAAATGAGTCATCATAGTTATGTCAGAAAGAATTTGACTTGATGTTACATAATGCCAGTTACAGTAGTCTCCGCTTAAACGCACACATATAAATATGCTGAATTGAAAACCGACTTATTAATAATATGGACTCGTTTAATTGTGTAAAGAAATCGAGGTGGCATTTTGTGAACACTTTACTGAGATAAAATTAGGTAGCGTAAACACAGCCTCGTGGGCACTCGCAGACTTCCGAGCGCATGGTATCTGTGAAATCGGGGTAATATTCAGATCACTGTTTCTTTGCTTGACCATCAATGATTTATTTATAGAGGCACCAGCCATCCATGTCCAGGTGCTGTTTTAGACTCTTTTTCCTGTCTGCGGATTAATCTTTTTTTGTCAATTTATTGGTTCAGCTTCTATGTACCCCATATCTATGGTTCACAACCTGGAAATCGCCTATAATTCGCTGTAATCCCCCCCCCCCCCCCCTTAATGTCATCATTTATGTGGCCGTCTATTTTTATCGAACGATTATGGATTAAGGGCAGTATTAATGATAATTAAGGAAAAAAAAACAACATTAATTAAATAATTAATAAATAAATTTAATAAATAATAAATAAATAAAGCTAATGATTATCATAATACAAATATTGATAATGAGAAGAAGAAGAAGAAGAAGAAGAAGAAGAAGAAGAAGAAGAAGAAGAAGAAGAAGAAGAAGAAGAAGAAGAAGAAGAAGAAGAAGAAGAAGAAGAAGAAGAAGAAGAAGAAGAAGAAGAAGAAGAAGAAGAAGAAGAAGAAGAAGAAGAAGAAGAAGAAGAAGAAGAAGAAGAAGAAGAAGAAGAAGAAGAAACACAGTCATGACATCAATATCAAGAACAATAATACTAACAATAGAATTGATTTGAGTAAAATAATGAAATAATGCTAAAATAATAAATGCAGTATTATTATTATAAATTAAAATTTCTAAAATGACACTACTTGGAATCCGCTGATTGGGATCAGATACCTTGTATGAATACGTTAAAATATATAATTCAATCCATACAATTTGAGGTTACATCTTCAGATAACCATCTCTTTTTTTCAAGAGGAAAGCAGATGTCTATTCTCTTTTTGTGTTTGATCATTCTATTGAGTTACATCTATAAGACCAATCTCCTCGTAGTCTAAGGAGTGGAAATATGATATATAAACTCAACTATTGCATTTTTTTTCTTTCTTTTTGTAGACGGTCAAATACTTTTACCGACATCCTCTTGTGTAAGGAGTGGAAAGAATGATGTAGAGACCCATGTTTTAAATCCCTTTCAACTTGTAAAGTGGCTTGTTTGGGTTTTTTTTTCGACATGCTCTTTTGAAATAAAACACCAAATGCTGTACACCTAGTAAAAGTTCAGCTTTTCCCAGTTATAATGGTGTAAGTTGTTTATATGTCCGATTATTAGGAGCTATTAATTGCTGTGAAAAGAGAAGCCCCCCGCGGTCGGAATGCGTGGTCGGCCGGTTAAAAAATTGACACGCGTGCATTCAAACGCTCCGTGGAAAGATTGAGGATTAAATGCCGTCTTTTCATAGGCAGAGAACTGTAGAGCTTTGGACGGGCTTTTCTGTGGTATATATTTGTCATATGGTGTTTAAATAGAAAGCCTTTAAAAATTCCGTCAAAGGTTTCAAAGATCATTTTTTTACACAAAATATGTAAAATACCGGCTAAAAAAAAGTATCAATAGAAAGATCAGTTTATTTTCCATCAGAATAAAGTAATCGACTTGGAACTATTTTTCATCAATCTTTCCGCGAAACTCGGAAAGCATGTGACCCCCCCAAGAGGGGAGCGCTTGGTACATATTACAGTATAGAGTCAACGCTCTGTGTTTTTTTTTAGATAACCACAGATCATTGTGTTTGCGGCAATAAAATTAATACTGATTTGTAATGGTCTTACAGTCTTGAAAAAAATTAGGCTCCATATATCTATGTTATAGTCATTGTACTCAGTTTATGTGGAGATGTTTGGTGCACTTGGTACTCTTTTATTATCTGTCAAACATGGGGTTGCAGCCAGTGAGCGACTTTAACAAATTTGACCCCATTTTTAACAGCTACCATTTGCTTAAAAAATCAATTGAGAGGTTAGAGAATGGTACCAAAATTCTCAGGAGATACAGGCCTTTCATATATGGAACAGATAAATTTGGCATATAGCTACTTTGAAAATTTAGTTTCTGGTACCAAATAAAATCGATATGGAACTGAAAGATTAGAATCTAGAACCAAGCAAAATTTCATCAAATAACAAATATCATCTCTAAAGTCTACATCACTTTTACTCTATAAAGAAAGTTGTTCAACTTTACTCAGTTAATAGAATCTAGGTGGAGAACAGAAATTCTAATTTTTCTTTAAAATCAGAAACATTAACATTTTTCAATTTGGCGAGAAACTTTTTATGTTCACCTCTTTCCTGTCGCCTTTCTTTGAAGTCTCCCGCTTCCTCATCAAATGGCACAGAGTCTGTTGACATACCCGACATTACTCTTCCACATTGGGCTTGCAGGGCTGTGAAAACCTGTTACAAACAAAAACATGAAACCTATGAAATGAGAAACAGCATTATAATTATACTTGCAAGTAGTTCCTTACTTTTGGTGCCTCCCAAGTTGACATTGAGAACCGCTAAGTATTTTCCAGCCTTTAGCAGATTCCTGGTCCATCCACTGTGCCGACTCCTGGTCCATCCACAGTGCCGACTCCTGGTCCGTCCACTGTGCCGACTCCTGGTCCGTCCACTGTGCCGACTCCTGGTCCGTCCACTGTGCCGACTCCTGGTCCGTCCACTGTGCCGACTCCTGGTCCGTTCACTGTGCCGACTCCTGGTCCGTTCACTGTGCCGACTCCTGGTCCATCCACTGTGCTGACTCCTGGTCCGTTCACTGTGCTGACTCCTGGTCCGTTCACTGTGCTGACTCCTGGTCCATTCACTGTGCTGACTCCTGGTCCATTCACTGTGCCGACTCCTGGTCCATCCACTGTGCCGACTCCTGGTCCATCCACTGTGCCGACTCCTGGTCCGTCCACTGTGCCAACTCCTGGTCCGTCCACTGCGCCGAATCCAGGTCCAACACCTGGCTACTCAGCCGTGTCATCTCCTGGACTTTTAACATAGCTGAGTCTTGTGATACATTCACAGATTTTTTCCTTAGACAATTGAAACCACAATTCTCCAAAAGTACCAGGGGAAGATCAGCAAGGGTACAAAGGTTTCGATATATGGAGAAAGCCAGACAGAAGAAAAATGTCTACAGAGCAGTGGCGGTGGGTAGTGAAGGGCTCACGGGCTTGAGCCCCCCTCCCCACCTCCCAACTCTATCCCAAAGCAAATGAAAGTAACGAAATAAGCAGTTGAAACCGTTATGATCGCACGCAATGAACACAGAGTGATCAACTTGGCGGCTTGCTCATTTATCCAATCCCTGTTGCCACCACTTACAACTATAGTAACCTCACAGCAAATCAAATGTCTTTAGGGCTCAGCAAAGATGAGCCGGTTCCCACGGACCCTCGTTAGTGAAACTCTTCTTGTAAAAAGGTAGAAGACTTCAAATCTAATAACACTGCACAGAGGGCTCACGCTGTCCTAGCCCTGACAATGGGGTAAAAGTTTACAACACACTTTCCCCCAGACACACATTGTTAGGTGCTGTCTACTTTCCTCGACTACACGGACTAATCCAGCTTGTGGAGTGCTGTGCTGTGTATACAAGTTTGTGTGAGTGCCGTTGAGATTTAACACTTATTAATTACATCAAACCACTTTTGAGGCAACTTTTTCATCAGATGAATATTAATTAGAAAGTTTGGAGGTGAAGCGGTTCCATCCCCAGCATCCAGAAGAATTTAACGTAGAACAAAGAGAAGGAAGACAAAGGTGACTCTTCTAGTTTGAATGGTTCTCAAAAAGCTGTGGCTCGCCGGAGTATGGAAAAATCACCACTGTTTTGTTCTTACGGCTTGCTATCTGGTGGTAAAGAAGTGAAAGCAACCTAAGCCCCACCCAAATTTTGGTCCACCCACCGCCACTGCTACAGAGACTACAGGAAGCAGATAATTCAAAGCAAACAAAAGGAAAAGGCAGGGGGAAAGGAAAAACAAGAGGGGACATGGTAAAGCTTCAAGGTCTCGAAGCCCCCTTGCCTGTCCGATTCTGATGATGATGATTCGACTTGCGGTGTGATCTTTGTGACTTGTGGTTTCACGCTGAATGTGTGAACCTTGATTGCAGCCTGCAGGAGATGGCCAATGAAGAGTGGGTGTGTGACTTTTGCACGAGATAGATGCTTACAAAAACCATAGTGCTTATAATTGCCTACATGGGCGGTTCTTATTGCCCCTAATTTGGGTTTTTTGAGTTCATCAGTATTTGTTTTAATACAGCATAAAAACATATTTCTAAGGCTTTTTTTCTGCTGTGAAAGTGGTGTGAGAATGATATTGGAAGCATTTAATAATTGAAACAGTTAGAAAACGCTAGATCTAGTAATTTGTTTCGAGTGACAAATTTTGTACAATTTGAAAAAAGGGGGTGCTTATTGCCCCCCTCTACCCTCCTATAATCGAACAAGGGTCGGAAGTCGGAACAGACGTCATGCTGGACTCAATTCAGAGTCCAAATAGAATTTTGGTTTAATCGGACACGAGTCCGAATAGATCTAGATCTAGAATCTAGTATTGTATTCTACATCTACATACTTCGCTATAAATAACTTTACTACATTACTAGATCTAGAATCTAGATTTTCTAGGCCCTAATTTTAGAACAAGTCCATCTAGATCTAGATCTCGATCTAATTCACTTTTTACTAAAAAGAGAGACAAAGTCAAAGAGAGAAAGAGAGAAGAGATAGAATCTAGAGATAGATAGATAGATGAATAGACAGATATATATAGATAGATGGAAATAGATAGATACAATTACACAGGGAGATAGAGACAGAAGACAAGAGAGAGTGAGAGAGAGTGTGCGTGTGAGTGTGTGTGTGAGAGAGAGAGAGAGAGAGAGAGAGAGAGAGATAGAAAGAGTTGGCGAAAGGAAGGCGCTTCTAAGCCTTGAAGTCACGACGATCAATAGCCGTTTGACTGTTAACCGGCGCGACGCCGGAGAATAGCTTCTGATCCATCGACGGGTGCGACGCCAGAGAATAGCCACTTGCTATAAAAGTACGAAGTGGCAAGCCGTACTTAAGTACGGCTAGACTGCCAGTCTAGCCGTACTTAGATCTAGGTTTGGCCCAATCGACTCAAGCCTGTTAAGTACACAGGTCTCATTAGATCTAGATCTAGTAATTATTTAGGTTTAAATACATGCAAGTCAGTAAGGCACCTTGTGGTTTTGTCTGAAATACAAATACTTTAGGCATTCATTGCAAACTAAAATTTTCATTTACAATTCAGCCATCAATATTAAGTACGGCTAGACTGACAGTCTAGCCGTCCTTAAGTACGGCTAGCCCGGCTGTCCACCCGTACTTAAGTACGGCTAGACAAGAAGTCTAGCCGTACTTAAGTACGGCTAGACTGCCAGTCTAGCCGTACTTATCTTAGGCCCTATTTACATTAGAAAACAGGAGGTTTAAAATACATGCACTGTCATTAAGGAACCTGGTTTTGTCTCAAATACAAATACTTTAGGTACTGCACACTAAAAAGGCCGGCACTATTTCTCCGAATGTTCGGGAAAATAAAGCTGGGCACTATTTCTCCGAACGTTCGGGAAAATAAAGCTGGGCACTATTTCTCCGAACGTTCAGGAAAATAAAGCTGGGCACTATTTCTCCGAACACTCTGAAATATCATCCTTTCCCCCAAATTTCGGATATTATATAGATCTATAATTATAGTATGGGCCTACCAAAGATTGTTCGTATACAATATGGTTCAATCGGTCCAAAAAATGTCCGCCGTAAATATTTATATAAAGAAATGCTACAATTCCAAACAGTTTTTCGCTATAGATATGACGTGTTGCCTATGAAAGGTGCTGCTTTTAAACGTAATGTGTTGTGTTCACTCGTGTGCTGTCTAGATCTAGATCTACGGAGGGTTATTGATAACTACACATAGAACTGGCATCTGCGTTTGTCACTGCTGCGACCAATGTACTGACACTGGCAAGCCCCTTAATGTGTGTGATTCCATAATTTACATGTAATATCCTGTACTTTTTTTTAAAATTACGCACATTTAGGGTTAAAACTGCCAATCTTCTTCGGACAGGTGGACACACGCCCTTATTTGTTAATGTTTGTTGTTGTTTATGGGCTGTTCTAATTTTGATTTCTTTCTGTTATGAAACCTTTCTTTTTCACGTTTTTACACTCATCTAAAAATCTCATCTAGACTAGCTGTTGAAAATTTAAATAGATATAGACCCAAAAATTTGCTCCTGTGTGTGTGTGTGTGTGTGTGTGTGTGTGTGTGTGTGTGTGTATGTGTGAGTGTTTGAGTGTGTCTGTGTGTGGTAGTAAGTGGAGAGTGAGGAGTGTGTGTGTGTGTTTGTTTGTTTTTCGGGCTTTATTTCAGCCTTTATTCAGTAACAGTTCAAAGTATACAAAAATAGAAACACAGGATCCATTCACTCCAGGACTCCATGAGTCATTCGTCTCTTTCAGTTTCACTCTTTCATTCAATTCCCGTGTTCTCTCCCGCGGCTCATCCCCGTCCGCATGACTTTCATACCCCACCCCATCCCTCCAGGCACACACAAAGAAAATCTCACTTGTTCCCTGCGAACCATGGACAATAATATAGGCAAAACACCGCCTGAGCTGCATTCCTTTTGTTCGTGAGCTGTGGACCAGGCCAGGGGTGGTCAGTGTCGTCGTCTTTTAGTTGCTGTCGCCTGTGGATACACTCGCACATTCTTCCTTTCACCCGCTCTTTCACTCACACTGTCTCTCCATCCACAGTTCAGCTCGTCATACGTTCAAAAGTTGCCCACTAGTTATGTTTAGTTAGTGTGTGTACATGTGCATGATGGTGGTGGGTGTGTGGTGGGTGTTACTGAAGGTTGTCTGTAGGCGGGCTTGCCATGCGGTACGTGTTCCTTCCCAGACCAGAGGCAGAGGCAGAATGAAAGTTGGCGCCGAACTCTCGCAATAAATAGGCAAAAAATCACGAGACCGGAAGCCGAAAACCGTTCGGAGAAATAAAGATCGGCACTATTTCTCCGAACGTTCGGAGAAATAGTCACTTCGCACTAAAAATGTATATTTACAATTCAGTAGGCCTATTTTTTGTAAATGGTCAGTCTAGCCATCATATTAAGAATAAGTACGGCTAGACTGTGAGTCTAGCCGTACTTAAGTACGGCTAGACTGCCAGTCTAGCCGTCATTAAGTACGGCTAGCCTCTTCCATAAAAGTAAAGTAAGGCATTAGAATCTCTAGACTAGATCTAGATCTAGACCACAATCTAGATATCTATATATCAAAATCTAGATCTAGATTCTAGATATCTAGATCTAGATCTAGATCTAGATATGTAGACTCTAGGTGTAGTTTTACACAAGACTTACCCTGCTAGGATTTTGCAACACAGCTCTTCTGATGGTACCAAACATTCTGATGCAGACAACCTGACACCAAAATAAGATTCCGAGATGGCCAGACAGTACTGTAGATACCTTAAACTTAAACCAAGATCTAGATTTGAAGATGACCAAGTGAAAAGTTAGAATGAAGGAATCGAATTTAAGAACTGTTACTGATGACTGATGTGTTACTAAACTGCGAACGTTTAAAATTTTCGTCTTCGGTTTCGGACTCGTTTTCGTCCAGGCCGACAGGCGATCCCAATTTAATTTAGAATCTACACTAAACCTGCATCAAAGGTAGATCTAGATGCCTTTACTTTCTTTACTAATACAATTAAATTTAGCTACTCAACAGTAATAAAAAAAATGTTCGCATTGATGGTACTGTATTTTCACAGGTTTCGTGCAAATCGTACACCTCACAAGTCTTCTTTTGACCTTCTCTCCAGAGGATCAAGCTTTCGATTCCCGTTCGCTCGCCTCTTTCGCATGGAGTAGGCTATTTTTTCCCAGCATAACCTCCCTTGTCATTTTTGTAAATTTCGCAGTTTAATCTGTCTCTTAATGCATTATATAGATGTATAAATTATTAAGTGAATCCTTTGTAAATTGTTTGTTTTAAGTTCACGAAGACAAACTTCAAGAATAGATCTATATATCTAGATCCTTTAGCAACTGATTTCCCAAACGTCTGATAAGTAAACCCACTGACAAGGATCTCTAAGAAGAGAATATTATTACACGAAAATTTCACTAGATGTTTAGGCCCTAATCTCCTTGGCCCTACTAGATATAGATCCATATAGATCTACATCCGGTTTCATCATCTCCCGTCTCCCACACTGCAGTAGTAGTGGGCCTTGGCCTAGCATAGTTCATTCAGGATACTGCTACTGCTAGATTAGAATACGTGTAGATCTGCACCACAGAATTCTACACTTTCCGTGCACAGCTGTTGTGTATGTTGTAGCTGGTAAGTCAGAACAGGACGTTTACCAACACCCCTGGCCTATTTTATCCTTTAGGCCTACTCCACAGTGGTTGTTGTCAGACTTTGGGCTTGAGAGTGTCTTAAGTTGAGACTTGAGTATTTTGAGTTTGAGTGAGTCATTTTATTTTTTAACTCAACAGTCAACAGCTTTACTCTAACTAGATCTAGATTCTAGATCTAGATCTAGATCTAGATATCTAGATCTAACTCACATTTCTGGTCGTACTACACATAGTATAGATCTAGGCTACTGTCAGTCTAAATGGTCACTTTGCAGTCATACCACAGATTTTGTTAATAATTTGGAAGTGAAATACACTATGATTGATAATTATTGGCTATGACTATGGCACAGTCGGTGATCTTGTAGTTCCGTTCGTTAAAGTCCACGATCCATTTGTTTACATCCAGAGAAGAAATCCAGAAGTCTTGAAGACCAAATACTATTGAAT